TCCTTTTTACTCTTCCATATCAAAAATATGTATTAGTTTCACGGTATGGCATTTTTTTATTAGAAGCCAAGGCAATTCAAATGAAGCTCTCGAGCTTACTTTCATTTCTTTTGAAAGTATTTAATGAAAAGCTTTCAAGGCAAATCTCTCCAGAAGGTGACAGAGGATTCCTCTTGGTCTGATGCCTTTAGATAATTTTGTTGCGTTTAGGTTGACACAGTCCACGAGATGTCCCTATCTGGTTCCGGTGAAAGCTTGCTAAGATCTCATCTGCCCTGCCACTTAAGAAACATCATCATAGCTAATATGCATTCCCACAACCACCTCTAGCTTACACCATACATTTTATCTACTCGAATTATGTAGGATTTCGGGACTATCAGTTTACTTTGAATAAGAATTTTAATTACGAAGAGTGTCTAAAGCTCTTATTTAAGGTATAGTCGTAGTCCCAAAATCCCACTTAATTCGAATACAAGTTTCATTTTCGACTGTAATAGTTTACTAGTAACATGTCAAAATTATACGCTATTCTACCTGGATTCGATTCTTGCTGGGGATACCGATGAGACCCAGGCAAAGTCGCAACCATATTCCGGCCTGGATAATAATACCTTTCGGGAAGAAAAGCTAAATGAAATTCCGTTATATCATGAGGCCGACTCATCTCATTTTGGAAAAATTTACTATAATCTCTTCACCACAAAACATTTTGCTAAACATTTTACCTTCAATCACTATATATTATTATAATAAATGAATAATCGCAAGTTGTAGAAGGATTTGACCTGCTCATTTTTATATATATTTAAGCTTAGTCACATTTTTGGGCGCGTTTGTATAAGAAATAGCTCAAAAAAGGACATTTATATCAAGATATTGGGCGATCACCTAATTAAATTATCACTCATCTAGAGTTCTACATATTAATAGCGTGCTGCAACGATGTTCACTACCCAGGGGGCAAGTTAAACCCTAGCGAGTTCAGAAATTCAGTCTAGCCATGATGAAAAAACATTTTAGTGGGCAAGGCTAAATGAAATTCATTGGTCTATTTTGGAAACTTAGGGTGTCTAGGTTCCCATTCAAGATTTACTGGTACCATCGAAAACTGCTTACAGTTGCATGCTGGTATCTGTGTGTGCTTGAACCTAAAAACTGCAGTATCTATCAAGATATTAGTTGATCGTCTAATTAAACTGATTGCTCATGGATCTTACCATATATTGGCAATGTTCTAGCCACTCGTTTCCAGCTTTAATCCGGGCCTTCATAAGTAAAAGTCAATTTTTGACCAACTGCCTCTCTTTTTTTTATGTGCTATCATCTCAGAACTTCATCATACGTGTCAACCGGGACATGAGCTCCATTGTCCTGAGCCGACGTACTTGGAATCCTCTGCATTTGGTTGGTTGTGTGTATGCAAATCGTGTTGATAATCAAGCTGAATCGGCGAGCAAGGGGGCTTCCTTGACACCACCAATAGCCCAGGGGAACTTGCGGTCCGGAGCTGTACGTCACAACCTGATTGCCGTGCTGCCTCGATCTGGATACTGTCTCTTCACAGTCGCGCGGTCACCACAGATGATCTTCGAAAGCCTCGCAAGGCTAATTGAGTTCTATGTGAAAATGCCCTGGTGAGTATGGGACAGGAAACGCTTGATTTTCCCTTTACATTCGACCCTCTGTATGAAGACGCCTTCCCCTTAACACCTT